AAAAAAAAAAAAAAAAAGCATAGGTAATTATTTAGTACATTACTCGCCCAAGAAACGTCCTGAACTGGAATCCGAGTGGGACTTAACGCTTTAGGGTTTTAGGGTTTAGGGTTTTAGGGTTTTAGGCTTTAGGGCTTTAGGGTTTTAGGGTTTAGAGTTTAGGGTTTAAGCCTGTGCCTTAAAACCTCCAGGTGCAGAATTTGGTGGTGCAGCTGGACACCTCCCGCTTGGCAGTCGCGAGCTTACGGTTATGCTTGGCCTAGTCTCTTCATCTAAAACTTACAGGACCATCCTCTTCCCCCAAATGCTGGGCAGTTGTTCGGTGAAAGTTGACGCTTTTGAGTCTTCTACTCCTCCAAAGTAAACCCGAAGCTTTCGAGCCTGCCATGGATGGAGTTCGAGAGGCTCCCGTTCGTTTGAGCCGGGGTCCCGATGTGGTGTTTGGGTTTGGGGTTTAGGGTTTAGGGTTTAGTTTAGGGGTTTGTGGGTCTCGGGTTTACGGTTCAGGGCCGTGTACAGCCGCAATGCCGGCAAGCTGACGAGGTTGACTCCACACAGCGGGAGCTGACAGACGTCACCAACAACAAGGCCTTTGCTCCTTCTCCTTCAGACTGCCAGGATCTAGGACATTTTCAGGTGGGTAGTTACCGTTATAGGAGCCATATAGAAGGTCTATATACCTTATAGAAGCCCTATAGAAGCCCTATATACCCTAAACTCCCCGTTTCCTTTAACAGGAAGCAGTGTTCAGGGCTGCAAGACGCATGCTTGAGACCCAATTACGGTCGGAGGTCGACGACGATGAGCAAGACAACGATGGACTACTAGTAGTTCGTATTAAGACTGACCTATGGCGCTTCATCAGCGTCAAAAGCATCAGCATACTGATGAGGGCTTATGTGATTGTGCGAATGATATCTTTTCTTGCCATTTTTGTTTTATGGCATCGTTGCTATCGCTGTTTTCCGTATCATCGCAGGACATTTGCACTCATATCCGTGGTGGTGCTGTGTTGGTCGTCTCCGTTGTCACAGTTCTGGTCGTCCTTGCGAAGTGGTCGCTGTGATTGTAGCCGCAATCGCACTCACAACGACGGTCGTCGCAAGGAAGCAGCCATAGGAGCAGGGGTGGTACTGTAGCAGCAGTAGCACTAGCAGTGGCACTAGCAGTGGCACAGGAGGAACAGAAGTGCAGCTACAGCAGCAGAAGTAGCAGCAGAAATCCCCTTCCATCCTGCTTGGCCATTAAGCCTACTAGGTTTTGAGCTTCGTTTTGGAGCTTTGACCTTTGAAATGTCTGGGAGGTGCGACTGGAGAGCATCCTCCGTGACACCAAGCCTCTTGGCTTTTTGGGTTTTCTGACAGGACCAGGGAAACTCAGCAACTTGGTCTTCGAGTAAGGGTACTATCGATGTGAAGCTTCGAAGCTCATGTCTTGCTATGGCCCCGCTCGTAATGATCCATGCACCTGCAGGCAGGGTTTAGGCTTAAGCGCCAAGCTCTGCTGGACAGGGCAATGGACGGTTAATTTAACATATTAGTGAAATATGAGAGGGCACTTCTGGGAGAGGTGGTGGCATCGTATTGCTCTGTTGCGGCGAACTCTGGTGGTCCCCGTGCCTTCAACCCTAAACTTGCGAGAAGGTCAACGGCTTCGAACCTTTGATGGTGTAAAGGGAGTACCGCCATCGTTTACCGGTCCACTTCTGCACATGGCACGCGCATGGTTGATGGACGTTGTTGATGGTAGCGCGCTAAACCCGAAACCCCAAGCCCTCAGCCCTAAGCCCTAAGCCGTAAACGCCAAACCCCTGCTTTGGCCCGCCTCCGTACCATGTCAGCCTCCTGAGCCCCCGGAGTGCTAAGCACCCAAGACTCCAAACCGGCAGACCTAGATCCTGAACCCCAAGGCGCCCTAAGCCCTCACATCCCGAAGTCGACAGAAGCCCAAAGTCCCAAAACACCGAATCCTGAAGGCGACCAGCACCCCCAACATCCTAGACTCCTAGACACCTCCATGAAGTCCTAAGCCCAGGCTCTAAATGCTAGAGGGAACTTTACGGCTCAGAAGAAGAGAAGAAGGAGAACCCCTAAACCCTAAACCCCAAGCCCTGCACCCTAAACCCTAGCCCTACACCCTACACCCTACACCCTAAGCCCTACACCCTACACCCTAAGCCCCAAGCCCGAAACGACAACTGGGCTGAGGTCTGCCATGCAGAAGATGACTCTGGAGCAGCAGGTGGAGGGCTTGATAGCATCAGGGACACTACCGGGTCCTGAGCCACTAGTAATGCAGGGCCTTAATAATTAGAATTGGGTTTTGGGGGTTCCTTATTATAATTATAGTATAATTAAACCCGAAATCCTATTCTAATTATTAAGGCCTCTACATTAAATTAGTACTAATAATAGTATTACTATTAATTTGTATAGTTGTGACGGCATCCCATGGTAGTCCTCTAGGAGTCTAGTACAATATGCATCAAAGTCTAACTTATAGTACCCCTTATAGGAACGCTTGAAGCGCATCCTAGTCTAATGACTTCGGCCCCTACATTGCCTGGTTTAGGCTTTTAGGGTTTGGGGTTTCGGAATCGCGGCTGTCCGGCAATCCGTGTTCCTGTTATCTGCGGTTTCGACTTTAGGGCTTAGGGTAACCCTAAACCGTGAATTCCTAAACCCTAAACCCTAAACCCTAAATCCCTATAAACCCTAATTCCTAAACCCTATAAACCCTAAATCCCTAAACCCTATAAACATTAAATCCCTATAACCCTATAATCCCTAAATCCCTAAACCCTATAAGCACTAAATCCCTAAACCCTATAAACCCTAAATCCCTAAACCTTATAAACCCTAAATCCCTACACCTGAAGGTTCCTGGGTTTCTGGCAGCCAGGTGGAGCAAAAGTCCCACGCCCAGCGCGTGGCGATGTTGGAGAAGGCGGAGCAGCCTTTCCTTGCGTTTGGGTGTTTTCTTTGTGGCGTCCGACATGGGATTAAGGGGTACTATCGGGTTCTATGGTAGGGTGCCCTTTAAGGGGTACGATGAGGTTCCATAATGGGCTGCCCTTTAAAGCTATGGGCTCGATTAGATGAGCTCCCGTCAGAACCTGACCAGGGTTTGCGGGGTTTGTCCTTAGGGGCATTTCGGGGTTTGAACAGAGGGTTTAGGGTTTAGGGTTTAGGGGTTAGGGTGGGGTTTGCAGAGAGGCACAGGCGTTACATGGCCTTGCGAGAGGGCCCTGCAAGTCGAAAAGTAAAGTCTTCGGCAAGGGTAGTTGCAAGTATGGTGGGTTTCGGATCGTCGGTTCATGGGGTAACATCGGGGCCTTAATATTTAGCATAGGGTTTGGGGTGTATTATATAATTAGACTATTATTATAATAAGGAGCCACCGAAATAGCATAGGTAATTATTAAGGCCCCTACATTAGTCACAAGTAGTAAGTAGCCAGAGTAGAAGTACCTAGTGCTGTCGCCGGCCCTGCACCCTTTGCTGCGGCCCATCCTTACAGAGGCTTCACGCATGCCAGCCACCAGTCGGTGCCGCTTAGGGCTTGGGGATCTAGGGTTTGCAGATGTATAATATAGGGGCCTCAATAATTACCTATAGTACTATTCTAATTATGAAGGCCCCTTTTTTGTTGGGGGATGTATAGGGTTCAGGATTGTTGGGTTTTTGGGTTTTGGGTTCCAGGGTTAGGGTTGTTGAGGCTTCCATGAATATTAGGGCCTCCATCGGAGACCTAAATCCTAAGCCTTACCCAATTGCAGGGACACTCTTGGTCTGGACGCAGTTTGGAGAGTCCGGTCCCGAAGCCAGCCCTAAACACTGCAAGAACCCTAAACCCTATGCCCTAAGCCCTCAACGCGCAGACCTTAACCCTAAACATCCTAAATACTCTAAACCCTACAACCTCAATGTTTTGGAGCTCGATTCTGGAGGAATACCTCTAAGAAACCTACCAAAGCTCACAAAACCCATGTAAGCCCCCTAAGGCCCCTGGTAAGAACCCTGAACCCCTAAACCCCTAAACCCCTAAACCCCTAAACCCCTAAAACCCTAAACTCTAAACCCCCCTAAACCCTAAACCCTGTCCCCTGGCAAGAACCCTCACGAAGCCCTCTTTGGAGGTGATCTCTGACGAGAGGGCCGAGCGGAGAAATCTCGTGAGCGAGACCATGGAGGCTGCTCGGAAGCCGGATTAGGGCTGAGGGTTGAGGGTTGAGGGTTCAGGGGTTGAGGGTTGAGGGTTTAGGGTTTAGGGGTTGAGGGTTTAGGGTTTAGGGTTGAGGGTTTGGGGTTTAGGGTTGAGGGTTGAGGGTTTAAGGTTTAGGGTCCCAAACGGGTAGTTCTCTAAAATTAGGGCCCCGTTTAGATCCACAATATAGTACGGCACCCTGATAAAAAGGACCCGAAAAGGGACCCTCAGTTGGAGAACTACCCAAATGTTACTTCAGGTGTTAGGGTCCATTGTTTAGGCTTAGAGACGAGAAAGAGCTCCGCGATTTACCAAGGCATCAGGTGTTCACGATGAGGAGTTCATATAGAAATCTGCCAGAGTGTAGAGTCTAGGCCGTAGAGTTTAGAGTCCCCGGCTCGGATGGTTTAGACCTTGGGCTTTCAGGGTTTAGGGTTTAGGGTTTAGGGTGTCTGGTTTCGAGCTTCGGTCGTGGAGTTGGGCTTGATCTCGCGTGACAATGTGGGGGTCCCCATCAAGTTGTGAGAACCCAGGGTTTCGTAGAGATTTATAGCAGGATGCTGCGAGTGTGTAGGCGCCAGTGAGGAAGGTTTCAACCTGAAGTGTCCTCCGTCTCTACCATACCACACCATACCATGTACGATACTAAACTAGACTATTCTATACAAGACTACGTATACAGTAATGATTATACCATGCAATACTATGCAATATTGTACAATGCAACACAATACTATGCAATACTATAGTGTACTAGACTGTATAACATACTATGCCCTGGCACTATACCGTACTATACTACCCTAAACCAAAAAAAACCTATACTACCCTGAACCCTATACTACCCTAAACCCTAAACCCTATATTGTGGGGCTTCCAGAAGCAGCAGCCAGGTCAGCGCTTCGCGAGAGGAGACCCTCGACACGCTGCGGAAGGCGAACCAAGAGGCTCGGTAATGGCGGTGTTTAGTCCCATGTTGCCATGGTATGGTATAGTATAGTATAGCGTAGTACAGCATAGCGTAGTATAGTATAGTATAGTATAGTATAGTATAGTATAGTATAGTATAGTATAGTATAGTATAGTATAGTACAATACAGTATAGTACAGTGTAGTGCAGTATAGTACAGTGTAGTGCAGTATAGTACAGTATATCTTAGCAGTAGTAGCAGAAGAAGCAACTGTCGTCGTGTCGTTCCGGTAGTGGCAGTGGTGGAGGGAGCATTAGGTCGCACAGCAATAGCTGCAGCAGCGCTGGCAGTAGCAGAAGCAGGAGCAGGATCCGGAGCGGGAGCGGGAGCGGGAACAGGAGCACGAGCAGCAGCAGCAGCAGCACAAGTAGAAGTAGAAGTAGAAGTAGTAGTAGTCGTCGTCGTAGTCGTATTCATAGTGGTAGTCATCGTCGTAGTGGTAGTGGCATTGGTAGTGGTAGTCATAGTCGTATTGGCGGTGGTAGCAGTGGTGGTAGTGGCGCTGGCAGTCGCAGTTGCAGTCGCAGTCGTAGTCGCAGTCGCTGTCGTAGTCGTAGCCGCCGTCGCCGAAGTAGCAGCAGTCCTAGTGGTAGTGGTAGTGGTAGTAGCGCAGTAGAAGTTGTCGTCTTGTTCATCGTCGTCGTCCCAGTCGGCTGCTGCTCCTGGTTGTTGTTGGGGCCTCCAGGTTTTTTGGGGGTTCGTGTTAAGTTGATTGTTCTTTTTTTGTTATTGTTTCTGGGAGATGGTTTAGGATGTAGGCTCAGGGCCAAGGTTTTTGGGGAGTATCCTGATGCTCGAGCCGACGACTGGTGCAGATCACCGAGATCAAGCGGCACCGATTCGAGAAGGAGGAGGAGATCGAACGGCTGAAGGTTCTGTAAGGTCCTCGGTGGGTTTGGGGCTGCGGCTGCAGAGAGGCCGAAGTAGTCTTGCAGTCAAGCTTCTGGTGCTGCTATACCACTAGGCTTTTCTACTACATAAAGGTTTGAGAGGACGAATCAGATCGCAGTTTAGGGTTTAGGCTGCTTCAGACTTAGTGTCCCAACTGGATTTTCGGGCTTGCAAAGTTGGGTAGGCGAAACCTACTTCCGGGCGCGATCTGGGGCTTGCGGGGTGCAATGGGACCATGCCTTCGGACAAGAGAGCAGCGGTGACCTTAACCCTAAAACCGTAATTTCGGGACTTCAAATCGCACGCAGAAAGCTGTCCAGATGTTCACCATCATTTCAGATGCCCGACAAAGGGTCTCTGCACCCCAGATTCCGAAGGCAAAGTGCTGACATAGAGGGCACAGAATTTCCATGCCCTGGTGATGTGGAAACTGCATGCCTCAATTCAACGGTTTTTTCTGATTTCACCGCCGTCCCATGACCTAAACCTATATAAACCCCAAAGCCCTGTTTTGTTTCATGAGATATATAGGGCCGAAGCCAGAGCCTTACATCAGAAACTTAAACACCCGAACATCTCTGGTGATCTTTTGCAGTCTTGAGCTTCCCAAGATACCGGACATAAGCCACAGCACGGTCGGCTTGCGGGTTTTGAAACGAGGGTCTTTCGGGTTTGGGGTTTTAGGGTTTAGGGTTTAGGGTTTAGGGTTTAGGGTAGGGCCGAGGGTTAATCTGCGATTGGGGAACGACCTCAGCTCCTGTGCACCGAACCCGCCGGCCATAAGCTAAACGACCTCAGCGATCTGAGAAAGGGCTCCCTAAATCAAGCCAAATTGCAAACCTAAACCCTAGACCCTAAACCCTAAACGCCTAAACCCTAAACCCTAAACCCCGACACCCACATGTGTTGATCCATGGCTGGAAAAAGGCGAATTAAAGCCCGAGGCTCCAAGCGCAGGAGCAGCGCAACGCCGAGCAGCTGGTGACCGTTACCCGGCCGCAGGTGAAAAGCCTTAGGGTTTAGGGGTTTAGGGGTTTAGGGTTTAGGGTTCAGGGTCTAGGGTAGTAAGGGACAGAAGGGGCAAAGTGCCGCGGTCTCTTGTCTAGGGGTCCTGAGAGCCTCGATTTTCCTGAAAAAATCCATTTGGCCAGGGCCGGATGGTATTAGAGCCTATGGCTTTGGTGTCCATATGGCTCGAGTTTATGTACAAGCTCAAGTTTCCGGGGACAGTTTAAGGGTCGGAATAATTCGCAATCTTATGAACTCATAGACCCCATCTGTAAGTATAGCATAGCATACCGTACTCTGAAGCCCTGTTCTAAGTATTAAGGCCCCTGTATTACGCTTCACCTTCCAGATCTCTTGCCTAGTGCCCATGTCCACGGCTTCCAGACGGCGCAGTAATTTTCCCAGCGACTCCGCGCGTGAATTGCCGCCGACTTATTTGCATATACCTAAACCCCCAAAAGTAGGCAAAAAACTGGCCCAAAACCTATAAAGGGCTGCTATTATTCTACATACTTTTGGGGTGCAGGTATTTGCATGTGCATCATTCCGGCTTCCGTTCTACTCTACTGCGCCCTGCTCTACTCTACCCTGGCGTGCGCGACTCGACGACTCTACTCCGCTACACCATATGATACAACACCATACGATACGGTCCTGCGCATTGCTGTACTAGGTATACTATTAGGCTTTACTATGTTGTTGCCACAATGTGTTATGTGGTGCTGCATGGAGTCCTAACATGTTGTATTACGTCATTTGGTGATATGTTATGTTATATGGTGTGTTTACAGCATCTTGTTCGATTCGATCACATCACACCATTTTTTTGGTGCTTCCGTACTGCTGTGTGCTGGTGCGCATCAGGTTTGGTTTGATTCGATCAGGCTAGCGTATTGTATGCCATTATTCCATCATGAGTTTGTTGGAGCTCAGAAGCCAAGTGAGGTGGACAAGTACCACGCCGTGGTCGCCTCCCATGAATCTGAGATGAGGCAAATCCAGGCACGCCAGAGCTGGTGTCGGGAAACTCGGTCCAAGATTTGGACCGTTCTGGGTTTTTGGGATGTTGGCGGTATGATGCTCGTAGTTTCTTATCGTGCGGGGCACCAGCTTGTGGCAGGTGCTACCTCGACTTCGGTTTCATGCGATCTAAAATCAAAAAATATATATATATATATATATCTTCATGCCCTCATCCTGACTGGCAAAAGAGATGCAGATTCGTCTCAAAGCCTGATCTGTGAGTCCTGGAATAATTTTCGTGGTGCCTTCGCCGATGGTTGATTCAGGTAGGGATTGATCGGTGGAGGCTGCGCGCTATACTTCCCAGGCCCAGGCACAAGCTGAGGTTTGTGAACTCTCCTGAACCCAATCCCCTTACTTCAAAGCCAGCTTAGAATTTGGACCTCCTGAGACCGAACCTGAAATCCAAACCTTAAGCCTATGCCCGGGATCCTAAACAAACGCCAAAACCCCAAATCCGAAATATTCGAAGCCCTTATCACAAGCCCCAACCCTAAACCCTAAACCCTAAACCCTAATCCCTAAACCCTAAACCCTAAATCCTAAACTACAAAGACCCTACCGACTCCCCGGCCCGACCCCCCCGAAACCCTCAACCCGGAACCCAACGGCCAAAAGTTGACCCTGAACCCTAAACCCTAAACCCTAAACCCTAAACTCTAAACTCTAAACCCTAAACCCTAAACCCTAAACCCTAAACCCTAAACTCTAAACCCGAAACCCCAAACCCTAAACCGTGTCTCAGATGCTCCTCGAATGCGAGAGGGAAGAGGCCGCCAGGAAGATGGCGGAGTCGGCCCGGCTTTTTTTTGGGGGTTTTAGGGTTTAGGGTTTAGAGTTTAGGGTTTAGGGTTAAGGGTTTAGGGGGTTCTTCGTGAACTTCCGGGTTGAGTTTATGTAGCATTTTGGGGTTTAGGGGTTCGGGGCTTAGAGAGTTTAGGGGTTTTGGGTTTTGGTGGGTTTTACGGCTGCAGGGCTTCGAGTTTTGCTGCTTTTGGCTTTGGAGCTGTAGGGCTGCAAGGTTTTGTTTTCTTAACTAGGATACCCTTCTCTCGGGTCCAGGCTCAAGCGGATAATGAGATTCGCATTTAGGAGTTTAGGGTTCCGTCTCGGGGCCTTAACTTCGAGATTTTTGGTTTCAGGGTCTCGCAAATGATGCTATTTGTTTCTGCTGCTTCAGGGTAGCCCAGGGTGGCCACTAAACCCCAAACTCCCCTAAACCCTAAACCCTAAACTCCCCTGCAGCCACGTGAGTCACCAGCGCGGGTGCTAGGATGTTAGGAGGATCCGACGACCTAGGCATGTGTCGGAGGCCCCAGCTCTTAAATCGAAGGCCCCAAAGCCCGAAACCTTAAGCCTTTAGGGTTTAGGGTTTAGGGTTTGGACCTAACTCAAACATCTTCGTAAGAATCTGCCCTGAACCTCCCCAAAAGCGGTCGCACCATAGCCCAAAGACGATGCTGATAGGACCCTTAGAGAACCCGTGCCCTCAATGCTAGACCCCTGTAAGAGATTCCATTCTTCTGCCAGGCTCCAAGATACCTACACAGCCGCCAAGAAGAGCCTGGAGCAACGGCTGGAGCAGTACAGCCACTGTTGCGAGGAGGGAAGGGCTTGGGGCTTCGGTCTTGCGAGAGTTCTGTGATTTGAGGGGTTTAGGGTTTAGGGTTTAGGGTTTAGGGTTTAGGGTTTAGGGTTTAGGGTTTAGGGTTTAGGGTCATAGGTCTAGGCTAACGGTCTAGGGTTTTTTTGGGCTTCGTCGCTTGGGGTCTTAGTGGTTTTGGGCTCCGGGTTTAGGGCTTGGGCTGCGTCTTGAGCCAGGGCTTGGGTTTACGCTTTAGGGTTTAGGGTTTACGGAATTCAGAGGCTTCGCCTTGTGGCTTGCATGGGAGACTCTATAAGCCTAGACCCCTAAACCCCTAAACTCCCAAACCCCTAAGCCCCTAAACCCCTAAACCCCTAAACCCTAAACCTTCGTCACACAGTTGCTTTAGACTTTAGACCGTCTCTGTAGACAGCGCAGGGTATGCACTGAAAGCAGCAGTCGGAGCTCTCCCCCCTCAGTTGCCGCTGTGCACAGCAACTCGCCATCTGAATCTGGGTTGTTTCCGGAGTAAGAAGTATTACTATTACTATTACCATGACCATTTCCATTACCATTGCCCTTACCATTACCATTAC